GGAGTGGCTTGCCGGCCATGTGACCGGATGAGAGTGGCTTGGCAGTCATGTGACCGGATGGGAGTGGCCAAGACGATGTCACTGAATTCTTTGCCCCAATGGATGATCTAAAAAGACTATGTAAAAAAGGAAATTTATTATTTTGTGCACTTACTACTTAAATAAGATTAAAATAAGTACACAAAACAATAAAAGAGCTACTTACAGAAGGTAAGTAGCTTACTACTTACTACTTGTATTTCAAAGGGAATAAATACATATTTAATTTTACACATGTGAACAGCTGTTGGAATTGTGTTTGCACAACGGTGGAAAAAACAAAGATATGAAAATGAATAAATATTAGAATGTGCAGGAATGAATAAATTGACAATTAAAATCAAGAAGGCTTCAAATACTTTTTCACGTGGGATTTGTTTTATCAATTGCTAACTAACAGAAACAGCAATTAGAAATCTAAAAGTATGAAAGTATGCTTTCTGAGCTTGGTGCAGCAAGGATCCCGCCATCCCCCACCTCCTCTTTCTCCCTCTTTTTCCCCTTTGGGGGGGAAGGAGGAGAAAGGACAAAAAGGATAAAGAGAGGGAGAAAGAGGAGGTGGGGGATAGTGGGATCCTTGCTGCTTTCTGAGCTTGGTGCATCAAGGATCCCACTATCCCCCACCTCCTCTTTCTCCCTCTCTTTCTCCTTTGGGGGGAAGGAGGAGAAAGGACAAAAAGGAGAGAGGGAGAAAGAGGAGGTGGGGGATAGTGGGATCCTTGCTGCTTTCTGAGCTTGGTGCATCAAGGATCCCACTATCCCCCACCTCCTCTTTCTCCCTCTCTTTCTCCTTTGGGGGGAAGGAGGAGAAAGGACAAAAAGGAGAGAGGGAGAAAGAGGAGGTGGGGGATAGTGGGATCCTTGCTGCTTTCTGAGCTTACGCGCCCCTGTTCTTTTTGGAGGCCTGGCATCTTGGGCAAGTCCGGGGACCTTGCAAGGTCGCCAAACTTGTCAATGATGCCGGCCGTGCCGTGTAAGTTCCCGCCCCTGCCCCCGCCCTTTCTGGCGGCCATGCAGCCCTGCGCTATAAGCGAGCCCGGGATCCTTGCAAGGCTGCAAAAGGTCACTGGACTCACTTATAGTTCAGGGCCGTGGCAGGCCACTCCAGATGGCCTGCCGCTGCCCCCCCCCCTGCCCCTTGCTTAGATGCAGCTTACTTACCTCCTCGGAATCGGCAGGCAGCAATAGAGAGCCAAGCAGGAACAAAGGTAAGTGGGTTTAGATAGGGTTCTTAGAGGCGGGTGGGGTGATTGGTGAGCCAGCCAATCAGTGAACGGTGGGTGGGGCTAGGATAGTGCGGACGGTCAGGGGGAGCGAGCAATGGAGTGGCTTCCAGACGGGCGGGGGCGAGCGAGCGAGCGACAGGGCCAGGGGCGGGGCTGGCATTCCGGAACTTACTTCTGGGTCTGGTGACCCACCGGTTCGCGAGAACCGGGGAGGACCGGCAGAAACCCACCCCTGCTCCTGTTGTTCCCATTTGGCTTTCACTTGATTTGCCCTTCATGCAGATGTAGTCAGTTTCACCTTGCTGTTTCTCAATACTTAATAGTAGAAATTTCAAGAACATGGAATTGAACTAAATGCATAATATTAGACAGAATAAATATTTGTGATTTATTTCTCAGTTCTGAAGTAGTGGATAAGAAGATAGAAGAATTTTTTTTGTGCTTTGAAGAAAAACTCAAAAATATGACTGAAGAGTCCTTCAAGACTCAGGTAATTGCCATTACCACCTCTTTTATTACTTTTCTTGAAACCTTTTCCAATAAATGCTTGATCAACAGTTTTGGTTGTTCAGCAAAACAATACAATAGTTTTTTCTGGTGCTTGTTCAAAGTTTATGAAGTCCAGAATAGCATAAGGGCAGTACTGGAGTTACGCTATCACAATCCTATGGGACCCGAAGAAATGAAAATTTATTATTCATCATTTAAATATGCAGGACCACTTTTATTTGATTAATTCAAAAAATCTATTACCAACTATTTATAGATCTAAAAGTAGAATCTGAACTCAGTTAGTTATACTTAAACTGCAAATAGGCCTATCGCTTATTTCGGGGGTCAAAAGAAACCTTGTCTTATTTTTGGGAAACACGGTAGTAGAAACAGAAGAGCTAGATTGTACAACTGGTCTCATTGGATCACGTACACTATATTGCCAAAAGTATTCGCTCACAACTGCTTCTGATTATGTGGATGGGTGAGCGAATACTTTTGGCAATATAGTGTACACTTCATTGGTAAAAGCTCAGAGGATTAAAACACTACCTTTCAAAATACTAGTCGAACCTGTAATAGGGATGCTTTAATACTACTTTGAAAAAATTGATGTCTTCTTCTCTACATTAGGTGACAGCTCTAATTAAATTAAAAGAATGTGAAGATTCTCATCTTGGTGAAGAAGTGGATAGGAACTGGACAGAAGTAGTGACTCAGCAATATCTATTTGACAGACTAGTTCGGGAGGTAATTCTTAAAAATATTCCCATATGGGTCAGATTTAAAAATCTTTGTATGCTCTTTCCATATTTAGTTCTAACACTAGCATAAGGAGGCAGTTAAGGAACCATTTGGTCTAATAGTTAGGGCACCAGGCTAGAAATGGGGAGATCATTATTTCAAGTCCTGCCTTAACTATGAAAGCTGGCTGGGCGACCTTGAGCCAGTCACTCTTTTTCAGCTCATCTTACCTCACAGAGTTGTTGTGAGAAAAACAGAAGGAAAGTGTGTTGGATACGTTCGCTGCCTTGAGTTATTCATAAAAATAATAAAAGGCAGAATACAAATAAATATGTTCAATTAAGTCTTTCTTTTCTATGTACAGAGCGTCCTCAACTTACAATCACAATTGAGACCAGAACTTACATTGCTAAGTGGCACAGTTGTTAAGTGAGCTGCGTCAAAATGTTATCATCTTTTTTGCCACAGTCTTTAAGCAAGTCATGCGGTTGTTAAGCAAAACCAGCTTCCCCCACTGACCTTTGCTTATTGGAAGCTGGTTGGGAAGGCTGCAGATGATGATCACATGACCCTGGGGTGCTGTAACCATTGCAAATATGTCAGTTGCCAAGCACCCTAAATTTGATCATATGACCACAGGGATGTAGCAACACTCTGAGCACCAGTTTTAAATCACTTTTTTCAGCACCATTGTACCTTTGGACAGTAACTAAACAGTTATAAGTTGAAGACTACCTGTACCAATGGCTTAAGTATAGGTCACTTTCTACATTATTTAAAGATACGCTATTTTTTTTAAAAAAACCCTATTTATTCTGTTTTAGATTGATGCTCTAAAATCTCTTTCGCAGTCAGAATTAGTTGACTGGTTTCAAATACATAGACACAAAGAAAGGAAAGTGCTCAGCGTACATGTGAGTATTTATGACAAATGTGTAAATAACTTAAATTGGGTGAATATTGAGGCTTAAAGTCTTAAGATATGATGGCTGTCTTGAGATAGATGTAAAAATAATTCAAGGCAGCCAACATATCTAATTACTACTGTTATATCTTGCCCATATATATAGGCAAGATATAAAATAATAATAGAAATAATGTAAAATATGCTATGCTAATATGCTAATGAATATATGCTAATGCAGTGTTTTTCAACCTTTTTTGTGCAAAGGCACACTTTTTTCATGAAAAAAATCACGAGGCACACCACCATTAGAAAATGTTTA